TTCTACACAACATAAAAACATGTATATGTATCAGAAAAAATATACAAATGGAGAATTCTCTCCTAGTCATTTTTGGCATAATTTGGCCAAAGACCCTGTACTATAGTGCAAAACCTGATTTTTTAAAAATTGAATTTTGACAAAAATCAGCTAATTTTTTACGAAAGAAATGTAATAAAATGAAAAATTGCCTCCAGCCATTTTATAACTCTTTATAATTAGGTGGCCTGGTATAATAGAAGCTGATCCTGACACTGATGCCTACTATGAAGCAAAGAATGAAAAAGGTGGGAAACCTTCACCAGCTACACCTGTAAGTTATAAGCTAGCTCACATTCACAGCCTGTATTCATTCGTTCATAGGAGAAGTATCATGTTGTCTTTATTGATACACCAGTATCAAGGAGTTGGATCCATGCACTAAACACTGCTCCATTTACCTGTAGTACCACTTTAAAGGACTGTGGATCAAATGTTAGTGAGAACTGAGAAAGGATAAAACTTAATACATTACATATACATGTAGCTAGCTTATTTGCATTCATACATGTATAAATATGCTGTATCCTACAGATTCCATTGAAGTATCAAGCTGGTCTTTCTACAGCAATGTCGCAGGCAAAATCTGCTTTGAGTCTACCACTAAATGTAGTACATTAATAATGATAATAATAATAGTTATCTGTTTGTATGTAGGAGAGATTGTCTCAGTGGGGTTTCATGTCCCGATATAATAAAGGTCGTAAGAGAAAAGGCAGCTCAAATCAAGGCAAGTATATAAAAGATTGGATTCTATGTATAGTTACTTAACTTACATTGTACCATAGGAGGAAAGCCTTCAAAAAGACCAACTGCTAAACTGTCTAAGAAAAACGATGAAATAGCTCCATGAAGAACACATCTTGTATACATTATTCATCCAGCATTAATCACTTATAACTATATCAGAATTAACCACTTCATATTAGATCTATTATAGCTGGTCTATTATTGTTATTGTATTTATTCAGCATGATCACTATTGTATACTATATCCCAGTTGAGTTTGGGACAAGAAAAACTGGAATAACTTTTTATTGGAATGTGGGATAAGGATGAAACTTTTACAGGTTCTTAGTCGCTAAAGTCCATCAAAATCTGTGAAACCTTGGGTCTCTCAGCCCTTGGGAACCCTGAGAACCGGGTTCTCCCTATAAACCCAATGGCATACCAAAGCTAACCACAATGACGTTTCATGATGTCATAGTTTACATAAGCACATGTAGTCGAGTGCCCAAACTGATAATTCTTCTTTTAAAAAGCTAATAGAGCGAGATCTTTTGATAACGATGGCCTTTATGAAAACTAGTTGACTCCAGCAGCTATTGTACTGCTTATCAGTAACAGCAAGACTGTTTTAAGAGTGAAACAACACAGGCGCCATTCCTCTATGAATATCATTATTTACGTCATTTTTGTGACGTAGCTACATTTTTCAAATTCCACACAGCTGCTTCCACTTCCGTCCCAAACTGAACTGGGATATAGTATACTGTGATGTCACGTTTAGCCACACCCACCGACAGGAAGTAACATTGCAGGAAGCAAAATGTCTAAAATTTTCATGACTTTGAAGGCTCATATCTCAGTAAATAATTATTTTTAGACAGTGGGATTTGGAACACATTATTATTATGGTAAGGTAATCATATTAAAACCAAAAAATTAACATGTTAAATTTCGGTAAAGATACCCTTTAAGGTATTTAGTTTAGAATTCCCAACTTAAATTTGCAATAATAAATTTAATTAGTGGGCATACCAACTAGAATTACATTATAACAAATGAATGTTACCCTTCATATACACATATCTCTTCTCCATCATAGTTGATCTCCTTGACTCTTGTAGTATGGAGTGATTCCACTGAGACCTTGAAACCAGCATTACCATTGGACGCCATGTGATGTGTGACTTGTGGGCGGATTAAGACAAATTAATATTGCGGGGGTGTTGGCAACAAAGGTCACGCAAACAAGGGCGGGGCTCATAGACAAGCAAAAGAAGAGGCTCTGAAGAGGCAGCAGTACAAGAAGATACATTTGAAGCAACAGCAAATACAGCTTAAGTAAGTTAAATATTATCAGTTACCAGAAGATTATTCACTTTTTCATAGGTAATAATGGCAGAAAATACCAGTCCAGCTACCACTATGACTTGTGAGGTTTGTTCAGAGTATTATACTGACCCCCTCATGCTTCCCTGTCTTCACTCATTCTGTAAGAAGTGTCTAATAAAAGCTAAAGAGAAGCAAGGTAGTGCTGATACCTCATTAAAGTGCCCAACGTGTGACACTAGCGTTAATTTACCTGATAATGAAATTGAAGGCCTCACTCAAAACCTTTGGTTTGAACATAAATCAAAAGAGGCTTCAATCAAAAAAAAGATTGTCAGCAAGGAAGCAGCATCATGTGATAAATGTAGGGTTGATGATTCCAGTGATGCAGCTGTTGTGTATTGCTGTGATTGCAGCCAGTTTCTGTGCGACCATTGTAAGAAAGGTCATAAGCGAAAACCAAAAAAAGCCAATCACAAGCTAATCAATTTAGAAACAAAGGAATCCATTGAATTGCCTACTGTTAAACATGAAGCAGTTTACTGTGCACGACATTTAGACCAAAAGCTGACATACTTTTGCAACGATTGCAATACATTAGTTTGTCAAATTTGTCTTAATGTGAAGCATAAAAGTCACAATTACAATGATTACCTTGATGAAGGTGAAGCAGCACGTAAAGCATTAAAGGAAAGTGTTGCTAGTTGTGATCGAGTCATTCCTCCAGTCACTGAAGCTATTGCTAATGGAGAGAAGATGCTAGAGCAGATAGCAACACGTAAAGAAGAAGTAAGGCAGGAAATCAAGGAAATGTTTGAAGAGCTTAAAGCTGCTTTAGATAAGAGATGCAATGATCTACTAAGGCCACGCCAATGAGATTCCTTGTTTCTCATTACCCGCCCGCATTGCCGCCTCTAATTTTTAATATTGTTAATATGCCATAGACTTCCAGGGCGCATGCGCAGACTCTGTTTTGTGGTGTTTCTGTGCGCCATTTTTCTATAATTTCATGATATTTCTCCTGTTTCTTGCCTTATTGCAACTTGAGAGTCTCTGTTTGCGGAGTGTTTGTCGACCAAATAGCGCTAGCAAGAGTGCAAACTCAGTAAGTCGGGTTGTTACTATAATTTTTACAGCTCAGTTCTCTTTTCAGTACTCATTTCAGCCCGCGTCTTCTCTTCAGTCCTCGAGATATTCCTTAAGTACAGTGTTTTCAAGGCTAGTCTATTGTGGTTAGTGATTTAATTTTAGTTTTACATTCGTATAAATGTTTAAGTAATATTCCTTTCTTTCTCTGCCCTCTCTCTCAGACTCTGCATGTTTTGTTGCAAGAGCTCGCTCTCCTCACTGAATTGATGTTTGACACTAATATTGTGGTTAGTGCCGGGATTATACGTACATGAGTTATGATTCTCTCTCTCTCTCTCTCTCTTAGCATTTTGATATTGTTTTTTGCAAGAGCTCATTCTCTTTTCAGTTACCTTGGTTACTTATATTATCGTGGTTAGTGATTTTAATTAGGTACAGTAATAATTATCTCTTTCTCCCCTCACTCAGGCTCAGTCTCTCCTCTTCCTTTCTCAAAGATTGCAGATATACTTGTACTAACTTTAATGATTTTTGGTCAGTGCATTGTACTATCGAGTTCAACTTACAAAATTTGACTGAATTCAA